CATACATGGATTTGGCGAAGACGTGCATCTTCCATGTCAAGGCTCACTTCTGAAACGAGTCGATATTTTTGAACATATTTCAGATTTAAAAAAACTCACCAATACTGGCAAATGTGTTCTCAAGTGGTGGCTTAGCAACGACACTTTTCAAAAACTTGTAAGCGATTCTCTGGATAACAATCGAATTTTCACCTCTATTAGAGGTTTTACGGTATGTCATATATTAGATTTGTTTTAAATAGATGAGGTTTACTATTTGTTCCTGTGAATAAAATCTCGTTTTGATTATTAGTTTGCCTTTATGTTACAAAATGTTTAATTGAGTTAGAGAAGTCTCTCATTAATATGACAAAACAGTTTTTTCTCCTATTGAGTTACCGAATAGTTACTTTGCAAATATTTAGAATTTTGATTCGTCTCTCATTGAATAAGTTGATTTGTACCTGAGAAAGACCGATTAAAACTCGGAATTGCTTTATGTATTGAATGACGAAAAATAAGATTTATTGGTGAGAAACACAAAAAAGTTAACTGAAAATAGAGATCGAAACTCAATAAATCGTGATAAGTAATAGCCAAATAATAAGAAATGCGAGTTATGAAATCCATGGATAAGACGTTGGACAGACTCCGCACATTCGGAAGCTGTGAGCGTGTAGACCACGTGATCTACCATCAAAGCTGCATGTAGATGGTACCTGGAATGAATTTTCGGATTCACAAGCGAACAATCGAAAAGCCATACTTCACATGGCTGGACATGATCGTTCATTAAAAATTTGCACTGCCAAGATCTCAAGTTTTTGATGTTGTTCAGGTCATATGGACTTCTCATCCAGTCAATCATCTGGCTTCCGGTGACAATGAACACGTCTTGTTTGAGAACAATCTGAAAAAGTAGTAAAATACATTTTTTACAAATCTATATGCTCACGTCTTTCAGAAAATCTTCCAAAGCATAAATTGCGCCATTATCAGGAAGATACGTCAAAAACTCGGTGTCCAGAGTTAGCACAAATGGAGCTCGATTGGTTTTATAGTGGTTCATGAAGTTTCTCATTAGCATTTTCTTCACGGAATCTCGAGAGTCAACTGGTTTCAAAGCTCTATTCAAAGTCTTATACCATCTTGAGTCATCTCCTTGTAGATTTTGAATTGGGATCTCCCAGATCCCTTTGTGTGTTTGTGTTGGACACTTTTCAGTGCAATCCCATGGTAACTTATGGTCAAGAGTTTGCGGCCAATATGCACCACTCACAAGCATAGAGTTGTCATATGTGAAATTGTTTTCAGTCATCATTTCGTATTGAGCATCACCTTGAAATAATACGTATGAAACTATACGATTTTTATAAAACATACCTCCAACTTTGAACATTGGGGCTCGTGTTCCCAAAATTTGGGACCTATCAACATAACTGAACTCGGCTAACGTTTCACGCATTCCCTTCTGTTCCTTATACCACCTTTCCTTGGTTCTACCAGACAAGTCTTCCTTGGTAATTGAGTTTACGCCAATCTCATTTCCTTTGCTGTGTAGCCAAAGAGTCTGATCATAGTTATTCCACTGGTGAGATACGAAGAATGTTCCTTTGATTGCACAACCATTTGGATTACGGATTTTTCCACTGAACAAAGATTTCAACGTGTTAATAATTCGATCAGTGATTGGATCATCGAATGAGAGCAAGACCATTTGTGGGACTTGTTTTGGATCAAGGTTGTCTGGTGGCATTTTTCCGGTGCTAAAATTGAATTTTAAAAAATTTCAAATGATCAAAAATTAGACAAGAACCTGGTACAGAAGCAATCTGGAAGTTTACAGGAACCATCTCTGGGACACTCGGTTAATGTTCTCGGCTGTTGAGTTCTTCTTGCAGCTTGCTCTGTACAATTTTATAAATTTATCATTCAGAATGAGGTCAAATATGTTAGTAGGCAGTATTAGTAAAAATAGAAGTTTCATTATAATAGTTCCATGAATGCAAAATATACAAAAAAGATTTTTAGAAAAAGGCGTAAGATTAGGCAAGTCGTGCAACACATTCTCCATTAACCAGGTTAGTATTAAAAGAGCATTCGCAGACTCCAGAGCTAGAGCATTTCTGCTGACTTCCGCAGTCTTTATAACTGCTACATTTTTCTGGAAAAAAGTAGAGTTTTCAATGAATAGCGGAAGGCTGCTCACTTTTTCCGTCATTTTCCGATTTTTTCATCGGTGTTTCTTTATCTATTTCATCTTGTGGAATTACGCAGTATCCAAATACACAAGTTGTGTTGTTCTGACATGTTGTGGTACCAGTGCATTTCGATCCGGGATATGCTATAAATGTCTTTTGAATTGATTATTTGGTTCCAATTGATACCTAAAGCTGATAATAAATTTGCTGTGGGAGTAACACAGTCAAGTGTCGAATTTGAATAGTTTGTTTTGGCACAAACACAATATCCATTTCTACAATCTGCGCCCTTGCTACAGAAACTGGTGTGGCAGCGAGATCCAGGAAGATTCTGAAAATCTGAACACTCCAACTGAAAACATTTATTATAACTCACGAGTAGTTGGCAGATACCATTCACCATTTCTTGATCGTTTCTACATGCACATCGTTTACCTACACAAATGGAACCGCCTGTGCATTCAGAATCAAACGTGCAAAAAGATTTTGGATAGGACCTAGACCGCACATTGTATGTACCAATCAATATACATGAAGAGCGATCCGGACTGAAATTATCTTGTAAATTCTTAGTTATCAATGTCTGTCATTTACCTTGGTGTGTATCCAGAATCACAAGAACAAGTCGAAAAAAGACACGAGGATCCTCCAATGCAGACAATAGTATTATCACAGTTTTCTCCAGGTCGAGCGGTTCTTGTAAAGTTCGAATTGTCGTTTTGTGGTAAGTTCGGGGTGCAAGCATTGTTGTTGATGAAGTTACCAGGCGGACAGGTACACACAGAGTTGCTACAGGAAGATCCTCCAGAACATCTTTGTAGACACGGTTGGAATGAACACTGGGGGTCACATGTCTGGCCAGGATTCACTAAAATCAGGATATTAAAAATTTGTTTTAGATATTCGATTATTCTCACGTTCTATAATGACAGCTGGTCTCGCAGTTGTCATTGGGATCATGGTGAATCTTATTTCAACTATAGGAGCACATCTTCCATTGGATGGGCTAAATCCGGTAGCGCATTGACAAGTACTCTGACTACATGATGATCCACCTCTGCAAATGACTCCGGAGTTTTGACAACTTTGTCCAGGAAGGGCATCACCAAGATAGAAAACACATTCTGTTCCACTGATAACTCGATTTGAGGGGCATGCACAGTAGTTATTGATACAAGATGCTTCATTTCGGCAGGGGACCGCGTTGGGTCTCAAGTCGCACATTTGACCAGGTAGCCCAAAGACTGAAATATGGATTTTGAATAGGAAAAACTATTAATTTTGAACTTACAAGGTGATGAAGATTGAGAAGACGATGCGGAACATCCAGTTCCCAAACATGGTACAGGCTGGGCAACCACTCGTTGGACACAATTACATCTATCGGCTATACAAGATTCAGTTTGTGCAACGTAGCCCTTAAAAATCGATTAGTCATCAGTGATGACGATATACTACTAACAAGGGAAGTCGTTTTAGAAAGGGGTTGAGAATTTGCTCATTTTTTGACAGCGGTTAGTTTACGTCCTTGTAAACCTCCTGTCAAAATCTGTATATACACTTTTTCCAAAAGTGCTGAAAATTTTAGTCTCAATGTTTCCAAATTTTTAACCATTGCAAACTCCTCTTTCCTCTGTGATATCGCCTCCTGGCAACCTCTCGTGAACACAGTTCACATAAACCCCCGCGCACTCTCTTGTTTTCAGTGGTGAGGTGGCCGAGTGGTAGTGGCGAGGGTTTGTAAGCTGAAGGTCCCGAGTTCGATTCCATCGTTTTGAAATTGTTTGTTGCTTTTTTTTTGAATAGAATTCATAGGAACCTATCTCGGGCTCCAAATAAGTTAGTGGCACGATTTTTCTAGTTTTTGTCGATTCTTAAACTTTGAAAAGTAGGAATCACCAATAGTTTTCAAAGTGGTTTTTTTCCGAAGTTTTCAAAGTTTTTGACTTAACTCCATGCGAAATTTTCGATGAATTTTTTTGTTTGAAATTTCTCAACTCTTTTACAGAACGTTTTTTTTGTGAGTTCTAATTCGTTTCTCATAATTATACCGCCCTTTTTGATCCAGAACAATGCAAAATCACTCACAGTTCA